GCAAACTGGCCAGATGAATCCAGAAAGCTGAGATACCATATAGATTCATCATGTTAAAGACAATACAGTCACAAAGATGGATCTCCATTTTCTTAAGCCTAGTTCACACTACACGATTTTTAGGCCAATTTGCCGCTCTGCGAGCTCAGCCACCGTCAGGCTGACATCAGGGGTAAATCAGACATCACCAGATATCTAGCATGCCAAATATCTGGAAGAGTCGGCCAACTCGACATCCACATCCAGCCAATGACAGAATTGCAGCTGGCAGCTACTTTTTCACTGCAAAACACCTTTTACTCACCTCCAGCTCTCTCTGTAGCTCAGACAATCCCTGCTACCGGCATGTAGCAAACAACAGCTGTTTCATGTGTAGGTTTGCGTCATTACCCGTTTGACATTTCACGTGTGTTTTCTTGACAAAACGTGGTTTGGAGACCAGCGTCGGGTGACAGAGTCCTTGTCAGCTCTCGTAGTGTGTGACCCCCTGTCACTGATCAGTCACGTAGTGCGAATGCCACAGCGACTTCCAGACTCCCGTCACAAGATGGCAAGTTCTGTAGTGTGAACAGCACGGCCATCGGCCGACGCTGAAAGTCATGTAGTCTGCACAGGGCATTAGGCATACAAAGGATACCAAGACTGACAGAAGGTATTTGTTCTTGTATTTTGTATGCAGTGTTTCTGGAAGGCAAATTAACTCATTACAAAAGAGCTTTTAGTGGTTGGGAAGCACGCAAGTCACACAAAAAAGAGAACCAAATGAACTAAATGCTTCCACACATTACTCTTCAGATGGTGTGGTATCGCGATAAGATGTTCAGCATGACTCGTTTGGAAAAATTATAGTAAAAGGCACAGCCTGTCTGACCCACTTCATTACAGAAAGATTATTTCATTTTTAGCCATGCTGTATATGGGCATGGGTCTACTGGATAGATTGCCATGAAATATTGTACAGATATTCATGGTTTCTCAAGGATGTATCCTAAAGACTTTGGCGATCCCTTGACATTTTTTCTAGCATCACCAAGAGGTTGACATTTTCGGTTGTGAATAAAACATCAATAACTATTGGTTGCCATGAAAATGTACCCTCTGCTTAACATCAGCGTGTTAGCTTTGTCATTGTGAGGTTGGTTAGCATGCTCGAAGTACTGCTAGATGATTTTAGCTAGATGCTAGATGCAGATGTAGAGTCTTAGTTTTATTGTCCCATGTCCAAACGGTAGTTTGAATTTCAAATAAAAAGTGAAAGGTTGTAGTCTATATCCTTGCTTCTCAATCAGCAGCCTAGCAAACCTTAAATACTGTCAAGTTTCAATAGTGTAATTTTTTGCACATGATAGTATTTTCCTACACACTTCTGTACCATAATTTGTTTCTGGTTAGGGATAATCTGTCCAGTTTTTCATTTAATTTAATGTTTTTGGGATTCACATTGTTTTCACACGACAAAAAACACTTTCTTCACAGAACTAAACTATTATAGCTAATGTTTTCTGCTACAATGGATCTCTATGAGATGAGATAGGCATTGTCTGGTATGAGATTTAGACGGTATGAAATCTTCAGCAAAAATATCACGATTTCACGGTATTGCGGTATTGTGATTACAGCTCTAAAATTGTGTGTTCTCTCTCTCTCTCTCTCTCTCTCTCTCTCTCTCTTTCTCTCTCACACACACACATGCACACCGGTCTTTTGTACGTTTTGTTCTTATGTCATGATTTTTAAAGGATGCATACAATGGTGGGAGACTTAAACAAAAGTATAGATGTGATGCCAGCTAAATGTAATTGCAAAAACACAGTAGCCTACTCTGCTCTTTCCTGCTCTGTGATGTTAGCTAGTTAATTAGCCATGTTATCTGCCAAGGCTGCAAGCCAAAAGTATTTATTTTACCAGTGCTAAATAAGAGGGAGGGGTCGTGTTGCATACAAACTGCAGCATTCCTGTACCTGGCCTCTTTGACGAGACATCTCAAAACAGCTCAAACTGCGGCAATAGTATAACAGACAAATTTGTAGTTTTGAAACATTGACTTTTTCATACCACGGAAACCGGCCCATGCCTATATAAAATGCATTAAATTGTGCTGAAAAGGATCTCCAATTGCTCTGTGATCATCTGTAATCTGCTGATCTTGCTTGATGGCAGTTTAAAAGTTCAGTCAAGGATAATAATAAAAAAACAACAAGTCATTGTTGTCCTTGGGCAACAATTTTGCAGTATGGATGACAAATAATCAAACACATGAAAAAATGACTAATGCATTAATTACTGAAAGCACACAGTGCATAATTTGATGACACAACTCAAGTCTAAATGTCTAATTAAGCTAATGTCACATAGACTCTCCATGTTCATTAATTTAAGTATCACAATGCGTCAAAACCAAATCAAGAAAGGTCGAGGTATTAGTCACTAAAGTATTTGTCATATTACATTATATGGGACAGAGAATCTGGAATACTGAAACTCTAGTGTAATGTTCAGTGTAATGGATAAACAGTGCAATGTTCCTGTAAAATTAAAATGCACAGCATGACATTGTTGTACATGTCAAGGTTAATAAATATGTATTGTCACTGTAGAGCACATTCACGAGTGTAAATCTCATAGCAGCTTTCCTTGTCTGCTTACACATATGAGCTGACAGATGTACAATCCTCTGTGCCTTCTGCTCAGGAAATGTGCTGCTTCCTGGTGTACCCCCCCCCCCCAACTACCACCTTGACATTCCCATGCAGGTAAATACAATCGGCATCCACTCTGATTGCCACGGTTGCTAGACAGAAGTGACAGGCAAGCAGTACAGTGAAGCAAATTATACACAAAGCCTCCTGTGACAAGTTCAAAGCCATATGTTGGGGTAAGGAAAACCTAGCGACAAACATTATTTACATTTACGAACATTAATAATTATGACACACACAGAGAGAGAGAGAGAGGCATAGCAATGACAAATTCATCCACTCTACCCTTTAACAGAAAGAGATATATATGCAGAATCCTCAGTGATGAGTTCAACTGAGAAAGTACCTTTTTAAAGGAGTATTTAAAATGCTCTTCTGTGACTTTACTCTTTCAAAACTAACCAGAGCTGTTTGATTTCAATGCAAAATAAAACAATAGTAAACTATTAATTTCCATCCATCGTCAACCGCTTATGCTGCATACAGGATCGCGGGGGGCTGGAGCCAATCTCAGCTTTCATCGGGCAAAAGGCAGGGTACACCCTGGACAGTCCATCGCAGGGCCACACATAGACAAACAACCACTCACACTCACACCTAACAATTTTGGAGACACCAATTCACCTAGCCTGCATATCTTTGGATGGTGGGAGGGAGCCGAAGCACCCGGAGAGAACCCACGCGGACACGGGGAGAACATGCAAACTCCACACAGGGAGGCTGCAACCAGAGTTTGAACCCACGACCTTCTTGCTGTGAGGCGACAGTACTAACCACACACAATTTTCAAAAGAAAGTGAGGTGAATGGAAATATCACTAAAATAAAACCCAGGTATGTAAGAAAACAAGATTTGTAAAGATTTAATTCACTATTCAAATATTTATTGTCCTCCTAAGTGTAACTGCTAATTACTTTCGCGATTAATTGCATGGTCAAAAAAATGGTCGAGGTGGAAAAAAGGTGACTGAAAAATATCAACCACAAGTTCCATGAGCCCACAGCCTTCAAATGACTTGCTTTGTCAGTCCAAAACAAAAGATATTCAGTTTACTGTGGTGGAAATATATTTCCTTGGGAGGAAACAAACAAATAAAAATGTTACAACAAACAATTGTCTTTGCAGAGTAAGTGATTCCGCTGAAGGGCAGAGCTCAGAGTCTGGCCCAAAGAAATACATAACTGAAACATTTTTTGCAAAGGAATAGTTGTGGAGTCTAGCTCTGTAGTTTCTATTAAGCGCATCTGTGTTTTCAAATGATGGTGAACACAAATACGAAGAAAATAGTGTACACAAGGATAGGAACAGATTCAGAGATAAACACTCCATCCCAGCTGTGCTGAGGCAGCCGGTGCTAAGCTAAGAGATATAGGCCCTTTCTGCCATCGATCCTCATGGGGAATGTCAACTTTCTGCCTTACAAAAGTGAGAAATAGAGGTGCTTTTACAGAGAGCCAGAGAGCATACCGTGCGTGCAGCTCTCTAAGACCTGGCTGAACACCAAAATTGCAGACTCCTGTGTGGATCTACCCAGCTTCTCTATGGTACAAGCACGGCAGCTGCAACCTCCCCCGCACCTGGGCCCCCTCCACTGTCCTTAACTTTAGAGGAGGTGAGGAAGGAGCTGAGGAGGCTGTGCCCTGGAAAAGCCACAGGCCCAGATGGCGTCCGTCCAAGACTGCTTAAGGATTGTGCAGCCCAATTGAGCAAGCCTTTCCAGAGGATCTTAAACCTGAGTCTACATTTGGGGAGGGTCTCATTGCTGTGGAAAACATCATGCCTACACAAAGTAGGGCACCCAGACAAAATTTCACTACAGAAACAGGCTGTAAACACTACACTGAACTACAGATATGGAGTCATTAGCCTTCATCTGGAGTCCTGTTTCTGTCCGCTTAATGAATCTATTGTAAGTTCAATATTGACTCTCAACACCTGAGAGAAATATCTGGCCCTCTAGCTGCTAAACGATCGACTATGTTTACCAGCTAGTCATTGACTTTGACTTTGACTTTGACTGTAAGTAGTGTACAGTGGGTTCATCAGAGCCTTCGAATACTGCTGAGAGGAGGCGAGAGTGAAAAAGGGTGATAATTCTCTGTTTTATACATATATATGTAGCCAGGTGAACCAGGGGTACAGAGTTAAATAGTGTTATGTGGGTTATAATGTTATGTAGTTGCTGGTGGGATTACTGCAGCGATAACTGTCCTCTGTATTTAATGGCACTGTCACTTTAAGAGTACTACATGGGACGGCTCGCGCAAGAGGGTAGAATTTCCGACGAGACACGGGGAAAAACGGAAGTGTTGGGTCCCACAGTGTAGAGAAACGACAAGGGATGTACTTTGGTTGATCGATATGGAGGATATCTCCATAACCCATGGTAAAGTACAGTAATAATCCTTAAGATCGGCAGACGAAAGAGTTAACTAACTAGCGGACCAAGGTAGATGAAGACCTGGGTGTCCCAGCTGATTCCTGACGATTGATAGCAGAGTGAGTGTGTGTATATTCGCCACAAGGGGAAGAGACTCTGACCAGCAGCGACAGCGTGAGTGACAATGGAGTGTTTTAACAAACAAAATCACATTATATTAGTGTATACTGAAGCTGTAAATAAACAATGTTCATTTCATATTTTTTCGCTGACTTAGAGATACACGTGCGGAGTTCTTGGTGAGTGTGTGGGCGTGTCCTGAGGACGCAACTGCACAGTAGAACAGTGAGTTACTGATTTCATTCATAAAATGTTAATTCTGAGTTTCTGTACAAAGTGCTGGGCAAATTGTATTCTGTGAATGAATGTATTTTATGTTTTTATGGTAAATTTAAATATTTCACCTTGAGTTTATGAACTCAATGCAATATGTGGTGAAGTGAATGTATTTATTTATGTATAAATAAATTTAGATTTGTTTTTTTTTGTTTCTTTCTCTGTTTAGAAAGGTCACTACTGTTGTCTAGTCTAGAGTGGTGTTATCTAATCTAGACGTTTGACGTTGTCCAGATTTTGGCTGTTTTACAGCTTTGGTTGTTGAGAATTTAGGTCTAGAGTTCCTGTTTAGAAGTAACTGAAGTCCACCAGAGTGAGTGTAAACTAGTTTATGGCAGCTGTTTACATATTGTGGTATGGTAAAGGGGTACTATAGAGTACTGTTAAGTCACATAGTTGAGATCAGATGCAATAAGCAAAGGACAAGTAAGAAAGTTATTCCTGTGTTTTGTATAACCGCCAACTGCCTATTAAAAGCCTTATAAAGAGAAAAACCATGGTTCCCTTAAATTTATTGGTATTGAAAGATTGAGTCCTAATCCAAGAGGGGGTAACATGATCAACCAACTTTTGAGAAGGGAAGCTTTTTGGATTCATGAATTGAACACAATTGAACCTCATGGACTGAATGAGACACTAGATTTGAGCCCATTCTTGTAATGTTGATTATTATGTCTATCTCTGAGGTGGGTTTTTTCCTTCAGAGAAAGTTTAGTTACAGAAATACCCTCCCCTCCCCTCGAGGGACATATGCTAAAAGTAGGAATGTCAGGCTATTTTGCCTTATAATATTTATGATATTTATGGTCTTCTAATGTTGTAATTCTTGTAACTTTAATGTGTTTAAAGGCTGTGTGAGCCTGAAGAAGCAATGGGCTCACAAATAAAGTAGTAAGTCAGATCAATGTGTGGTAGTTTGTTTTTTGATTTTTCATAGACTTATCCTGCTATCTACCAGCACCTCATTGTTGTTGCTGTGCTTGGGGAATTTTTTGTTATATATATATATAATTTATGAGTGATACAAGTATCGGTGAATCATCATTGATAACAAGTTGACCTTTGTACTAAACACAGACATGCTGAGTAAGAAAAGTCAGCAACGTCTCTTCTGTGTGAGAAAGCTAGCGAAGTTTCAAGTGGACAGATCCCTGATGACATTGTTTTATAAATCTTTTATTGAGTCCGACTTTACTTTTTCATGTATTTTCTGTTATGCTTCTTTTGTTTAAAATGGAAAAACACAATAGTAAATAAAGTTAGAAGCAAAATCATCGGGATTCAGCAGATAAAACTAACTGAACTGTACAACAAACGTGTAAATAGATAGAAATTCTCCTTCGTACCCTCTGCTATCTCTTTGCTTAAATCTGTAAAGAATAGATAACGTCTGCACATAAGGCACACTTGAACTTAAACTTTTAATGTTGTGGTATTTATTTACCCATATGTCTGAACCTGTATTTTTAATCGATGTTGTCATTGTTGTCCTGTACTGTATGTCAGATTCTTTGTTACTGTGGCAAAACTAATCTCTCCTTGGGGACAAATAAAAGTCTTGAATTGAATTGAACATTTGGAATAAAGTGTGTGTGTGTGTGTGTGTGTGTGTGTGTGTATATATATATATATATATATATATATATATATATATATATATATATAATAGGTGGGATTAATTTTACCCCGACCTTTCATGCAGAACTGCTTCAGCTCAGCAGGCATGAAATTCTTGTTTTAGAAACCCGCCACAGTCCAATGTCATTCATGTGTGGACTTTGACAAGGCCATTTCAAATCTTTAAATTCTTCTTCTTTAGTTACACCAAAGTTGGTTGTGTGTCTCGGATAATTTTCTTGCCATGTGATCCATTTCCACCTCAAGTGCAGCCATTAACAAGATGCCTTCATATTCTTCAGTGAGAAAATCAGTGTTCTTTCAGGATTCATGGCTCATCCAGTTATTGTCCAGGTTGCACTTAAACGGCCGTCTTTTGTTCATTTTTTTATATAGCATTTAGTATTTTTTACCTGAATGTCGTTCTGAGGACATTTCCTCTTGCCTTTGGAAAGATTTTGGAATATTTACTGATGAACAGTGAATTTAGTTACATCATGTTGGTGTGTGGACAACACACAAGTATCTGCCTAGTTTGTTGGTGTGTGCATATGCAAAATGCAACCTACAGAGGTCACCATTGACAAAATTATTGCTAAGTTTTAACATTTGAAAAGGCTTAAGGGAGGTAAAGAAGCCATTAAATGTTTTACTTGACACAGGAGTGGTTACTAATTTGGGATAACATAGAATAAATGTCATCTCTGTATTATTTAAATAGAATAGAAACATGGAGACAAGCTGACAGAAAGAGACAGATTGTGTGTATGTGTGTGTGGAGATAAACAGGCCATATATGTACTGCTTTTAAGATGAAGAGGAAGGAAAAGAAGATGAATGTGTGCATTTTACAGAAATGCAGTTAATGGCTCTCAGGTGAAGTATTAATCCCTCTGGTGGCCGCACTGGAAACCCACAGCTCCTTACCAGCAGTGGCTAAGGACAAGGGATGGGTATCGCTATTGGCTACCTTTATGGTATCGACCGAAACGGCCATCGAGCAGCCAAACACGCAAACAACACACGAAAGAAAAAGAAGAGCACGCCTTTTTTCCTTTATGTGCCTGCACCATAAACTGTATTTTAAAAAAGGCCTGCACACTTCTCTGTGCATTTTTGTTTTATTTGCTATTCAAATCATTTCTCACTTTTGTGGCGCAGCAGCTACCAGCTGATTTTACTCACTGGAGCCTCGGGCTGCGGCTGCTTTGGTTTGATCGGCTGGACGTGCAGCCTCTCTTTTCCTCTGTTTGTGTGTCTTTTGTGTAGTTAAGTGATTAGTTTAATCAGACTCCTTACTCGATTTATACTTGTGACTGTCATTTTTGGAAGAGGTTTGCAGAGATCTTTCAATTCAGTTTATTGATCAAAAGTTAACAAATAATTTTCTGTTGTTTACTTTCAACACACCTATCAAAAAATACCTTAAATTTGTTCCCCACAACTTATTTGTCACTAAACTATTTCACTCCTCCTCTCTCATTCAAATATTTTAAAAAATTGCCAGCTTTCCCTGTATAATAGGACTACCAGTGAGGAAGAACTAATTTGGATGAGGAGTGATTTCCCAATACTTTTATGTAACAGTTATTTGAAACGAGATAAAAATAAAGTAGATAACCTTGCATGTCCATAACAACAATAAAAATAATAATAGGCTACCTATCAAGTACTATGGTGGTGATAGCACAAGGATAAAACACACGCCTTTGGTGTGAGAGACTCGGGTTCTATCCCCCACTGACCCATCCACCAATGTGTCCCTGAGCAAGACACTTGACCCCTCATTGCTCCAGAGGCGTGTGACCTCTGACATATGTAGCAATTGTAAGTCGCTTTGGATAAAAGCGTCAGCTAAAGGGGTTAATGTAATGTAATACTATGGCTTCAACAGGTGGCATTTTATGCAAGGTATCGAATGAAGTACTCCATTGGTATCTGTACCGCTTTAAGGGTACTGGTTGTTATACTGGTATCGTGAAGTTTTAAACAATACCAAACCTGATTGCTTCAGATTAGCCATTTCAGCAGTTTTTAATAGACATGGTTTAGACAAGCTTTTGGAATTAATTAGAAGTTTACCAAATGGGCACTCTCCAATTTCCCAAATTACCTGGTTCTTTCTGGGAAACTTTGTACAATGATTTGGATTTTTTGGCCTGGAAAATAAAGTTTTACCTTCTGCTGTTTTGTGTTGAGTCCACTTCTTAGCGGACTAGTTGTACTGAACAAACCATCATGGTTTTGTTGAAGTCATAATTTGTTTATAAACCAGCCAATATCATTTGTAATCCAGCAACAACCACACTCAAAGATATCATATTATCATCATATTAAACAACATTAATGCTTGTTGGTTTTTTTTGATTTTTTAAAATGCTTGTTATTTTCAAAATAATACTTTTTAATACTGTGAACTGCAAAAAGGTTATGTGTAAAAGTTGCACACACTGGATAGAGTCAGTAATATGGTAAAATTATGTGAATTTCGTTTAAACCAGAAGAAATCACCTTTTGTATAATTATTCTGGCCCTGGGTTGTTACATTAACTTTTGTGGCTCTGTTTGAGCAGTCTGCTTTCACTACCAAGGATATAAACCATGTATTTCATCCACAAGTGTTGCAGTAGTGACTGATACTAAATGGATTATAGACAAAAACAAAACTCTTGTGTGTCACATTAATATATCTTTTGAAACAAATCTTTTTCAAATCTGCTCAAGCTTGGATGTTTCAGCAGGTGAATCACAAACTGGCCTGAGCTATCAACTAGGAAACCATGCTAATTAGCCTTGAAGTGATTTGGTACGAGAGTCATGGGATGAGGAGAGTGTGTGAGACAGAAAGCGAGAGGTGAGAGAACAGGTGTGTGTGTGTGTGTGTGTGTGTGAATGGGAAAGCATGACAGGCAGTGTGTGAAGTGAACATTTACCACCACACAGCTGGTGATGGTTACCATGAGAACCAACAGGGGCAGATGGTGCCCAAATGCCTGGACGACATTCACACACACGCACGTTTGTTCCTCTATCCCAGTGGGGACAGGTCATTGACAAAATGCATTCTCTAGCCCTTTACCCTGACCTTAACCATCACAATTACATGCCTAACCATAACCCTATTGTAACCTGAACCCTAAAACCAAGTCTTAACCCTCAAGCTGCGCTTCTACCCTTGGGGACCTCAATTTTTATCTCCACATTGACACAAGTCTCCGTCGCTCATTCTCATTGTGCATTCTGGTCCCCACATGAATATAAATACACACTCACAAACGCAAACATAATAACTTTGAGTTCATGGTAAGGACTCGGTAAGCATATAATTAATT